GATCTGCTCGCTGATTCAAACGGTCATGTGTAAGTTGTATCTGGAGCGCGTTGCTGTCGTCTATCAGCAGCAAGTTGAATTATGAAATTCCATGAAGATTTGACGACGCTATAGCGGTTTGACTGGCAGGAGGTATAGCAGCCACTATAGTCTTAGAAGTACAAACTTAGCAAGAAGAATTCGAGAGGGAGATGGTTCCCAGCCTCTACATACCCCAAGAGCCAAGGTCCAGGTTGGTGGTATACCACCACAGAGTCTCCAACCACGAAGAGTCTCGAAACCAACCCTCCAAGGGGCTATACCAAGTGAAATGTAACACTACACGAAGTAGCGTTACTATTTTCACTATTTAATATTTATCCGTGTACCTTGGGCTTGAAATCTTGAGCTCTTGGTCTTGGTTCTGCAAGATAAATTCTTCTTGAGTTGATGGGGGCTTTCTGCACACACCTGCGTCGCGATGGACACTTCACACTCGACAAAATAGAAAAAACGCATGCGACACGCAAACGACGACTTGACATGCGAGTTGTAAAAACTCGCTAATGTCTTGACCGACACAAACCACATTGTGATACACCATTCAAAAACACACACAAGCACTAGATAGCAATGACATAGACTCACAATTCATTCCATGCCATGCATGCACATACACAAACAAGGACGACAAGCCGAGTGCAAGCCATAGGGTTGCACCAACAGTATAGACAAGCCCAAAGCCTAGAGCGAGCTTCGCAACTTCGTCCACATCCTTGCTGCGCTTCCCAAGGCAAACAAGTCATTCCACGCTGGGTTGAGCGCCATGCTCAAGACGCATGACTGGAGGGACAGCTTCTCAGAGTAGAAAAGTTAACTAAAATGAGGCATACAGGTTGATTTTGCTCAAGTGGTTGTACCCTCTAAGAGCATGCACCTATCTAGCCTACTATAACATATACAAATATCTTTGACACACCCCGTAGGCCAGATGAGGGGCAATGCTTGGAAGTCGACACACAGCTCAGGGTGGCACTACTAGTCCAGCCTCTGAGGCAAGGGTCCGAAGACCAGTCAGCAAGAGTACAAACAAGACGAGCAAACCAGGGCGGCACTACAAGTTCGACCACTGAAAGCGAAGCCACAAGGCCAGTCAGAGAGGTATATATAAAGAGAAGTACACAACCAAGATCCTAGCAAGTGAGTAGCTACAGGAACTAGACCAAGCTACAAACAGTGACGCTGATGATCTTTAGGCGCAAGCGCCTTAGTAAAGAGATCAGTCGTGTTGGCACCGGAGGCCAACTATACTACGCGGGTCTAGCGACGCTGCTGTAGCTCGAGCAGGAGGAAGTACCGCAGCTGGATGTGCTTCGCTCTGCCCTCCAGTCGAGGCTCCTGACACAAGAGGATCATGGCCCTGTTGTCAGCGTACAGAACCGGGCCTGAGCTAGGCCGCTCACCTAAGTCTGTGAGCATGAAAGTCAGCCAGAGCTCCAGTGCCAGCATGGCACCAGCGTAGAACTCAGCCTCACAGCTGGACTGTGCAACAGACGACGAGTGCGTGGACCTCCGCGAGACCGCGCCTACACCAAGGCTAAAGCAGTAGCCCTGACAAGACCTCAGGGTCTCAGCGTCGTCTGCCCAAGAAGTGTCAGTGTGCCCAGAAAGGACCACTGGCCTGCGTTTTCCCAGTACTAGCTCCATGCCCGATGTACTTGCTAGATAACACAAAACCCTCGTAGCACCCGACCAGTGCTCTGGTTGGTGTCTGGCTGTGGCCACAAAGCGAGCCAGGATGCTAAGAGGGTATGCGAGATCTGGACGAGTTCAAGTCATCAGGTATATGAGGCAACCCACCAGCTCTGCGTAAGGACCACTGGACTCTACTGACACCTCAGGAACAGAAGTTGAGAGCCTGTGGTCTACTGGCAGAGGTGTAGGCCGTGCTGAGGAGAACTGAAGACCAAACCTCTGAAGGACCTGGCGCACCAAGTGTGACTGTGTGAGAGTTACAGTGCGCGCTGCTCTATCCCTGAAGATCTGCAAGCCAAGGTAGCGACGTAGCTCTCCTAGGTCAGTGCAGGTGTGTCTCCTCAGCAGCTCGGCCTTCACGAAGGCCAGTGCGTCTCAGTCTGCAGTACCGAAGACCATGTCGTCTACGTAGACAAGGATGTAGAACGGAGTCTGGCCAGCACGAACGAAGAGTGAGGGGTCTGCAGAGGACAAAAAGAACTGCAGGTCAAATAGCGTAGCACGCAACGTGTCGTGCCACTCACGGGGCGCCTGTCGCAGGCCGTAGACCAGGCGCCGGAGGAACCACTGGGCCCCAGGAGGGAAGGTACCGGTAGAGCCCTGCGGACAGCGCAGGTAGACCTGCTCGTGTAGGCTGCCCTGAAGAAACGCGGTGGAGAAGTCGAGGGAGTGGAACTCGTAGTCACGCTGTGCTGCTACGTGTAGCAGCGACCGAAGAGTAGTCATCTTCGGGGTCGGGGCGAAGGTCTAAAAGAAGTCCACCCACTCGTGCTGACTGAAGCCTCTAGCCACGTAGCGCGCCTTGAACACAGGCGGCTCTTCAGGAGGGCGCTTCACCTTGAAGAGCCACCGGCCATCGACTACGTTCACCCCAGGTAGGGGAACTGCGTCGACGTAGGTGCCGGTGGATCTCCAATATGCCATCTCCTGCTCCATGGCAGCTATCAATTGAGAGGCCCAGGTCCCGAGGTCGCCTCAGCGTAAGTGCGAGGGGTCAGGATGTCAAAGGCGTCTGGGTCACCCTCAAGGACTAGCAGCATGGAACAGAGATGGGGAGCTGCCTCAGACAGGAAAGCAAGCTCGTACTGCCTATCCTCTAGGATGTCACTGCTAAGGGTAGGAGCACCCCCGACGGACGGAGGGCAGGCAGGGCCAGAGACCAGAGCGGTGGCATAGTGAAAGCGGCGGGTAGAGGCAAAGACAACGACGGCAACGACAAGAGCATCAAGACTCGAGACAGGAAAAGACTGGTCGGTAAGGAGGGAGGCAAGGACCCGAGGAACAAGAGGACGAGCAGCACGACGGTAGTCAGACAGAGGGGGGGGCACAACAACCAGCGATGACAGAGGAGGCGAAGTCAAGAGGGGAGGACGAGACGCATGGGAACGAAGCAACATGGGGTGAGAGCGCTGAGCAGGAGAGACAGAACGAGCACGAGCGGGACAGTGCGACCAAATGTGAGACGGAGGTGTCTGGTCAGGAGACAGAGGAGGAGACACAAGAGGAGAACAAGGTGGGAAACGGGCCGGGGACGAGTCCGGCGGAGGAGACACAGGACCGTGGACTGGAAGGGCAGTAGGCGAAGGGCAGACACCGGCGGCAACTGCTGCTGCTGGTGCTCGACGCCGACACCTGGACCGCCAGGTGCACCACGACTACCTCCGGAACACTCCACTCCAGCACCCCCAGAACGAGCACCCCCAGAGCGAGAACTCTCTCCAGCACCGGTGCCACCCCCGAGCTCGCCAGGACAAGCCACGACAAGAACCCCAGGAGTAGCACCCTCCTCAATGCCAGCACCCCCAGAGTCCACGAATGGCTGCTGCTACTGCGGCGGCGGCGGCGACTGCTACTGCGACGGCGGCGTCGACTGCTGCTACTGCGGCTGCAACGGTGGCTGTGGCGGCGACTATGAGGACGGAGGAGGGGACATCGGGGGAGAGGCAAGCGGCGAGAGCTGCCCCGCGGGGCTTCCAGAGTCAGCCGACTCCTCGACCGGGACAAGCGACGGGAGGGGAGTGACGTGAGACACTCCAGACGGAGCAGGAGGGAGGGAGGGGAGCAGGGGCTACCGGGGGAGTGGGAACCAGAAACAGGGGCGGGGAAACCGGGAGACCTCGGTGGGAAAGTGACTGTAAAAGGAGACAGACTCCTCGAAAGTGACGTCACACGAGTGAAGGAAGCAGTGAGACGGCGGGTGGTAAAAGTGCCAATCAAACGAGTCAAGGGGGAAACCAAGGAAGTCACAGGGGACAGTGCGAGCAAAGAGCTTGTCCGTGCCAGAAGCACGAACGTGAGCGAGGCATCCCGAGACGTGGAATGCAGACGCTCCAGGGAGGGAAGGAAAAACAGTGGTGTAGCCTTCCGCTCCAGAGAAAAAAGCGTGGTGTAGCATATGTAGTCGTCAACAAGCACCGGGAAGTAGTGCTCTCAACGCGGCCCAGGGACGGGGGCTGGACCCCAGACTTCCAAGTGCAGGGTCTGGAGTGGCGCGGCGGCAGGGCGAAGCGAGGAGGATTGAGGAGCACGGCGCAGCCGGCCCTCGACACAGGGGGTGCAGGGCGGCGCAGGCGAGGGAGGGAGGGAAGGGAGCGACGCAGGGAGACCTAGGACAAGACCGTGCTGGGACATGTGACGCAGACGCGGGAGTGCAGGGTGACCTAGGAGGTGGTGCCACAGCAGCGACGGGTGAGTGAGCGACCGACACGAGCAAACCACGGCTACATGGGGGGACGCCCTCACCAGGGGGAACGCAGTGTCAAGCGTAAACAGGCCGGGCACAGGGTCCCGGGGGAACGTGGTCAAAGGAGCACCAGTGGCGGTCTCGGTTCAGACCGCTTACCGCTCGTTTCCGAGCAACGTAGTGGTGACGCCGAGGTCCTGAAGACAGCTGGCACCAACTAGGTTCCTAGAGAACGAGGGGATGTGTAGGCTTGATACCATCTTAGAGTAAACAGATAAGCTAGAATGAGGCATACATGTTGTTTTTCGTTCAAGTGTTGTACCCTCTAAGAACATGCACCTATCTAGCCTATTATAATATATACAAATATGTTTGACACAGAGTCGTAGGCAAACTTTTGTATGAGCCTTTTTTATGGCTCTTCATTAGAGAAGACGTGCTTGTCTTTTGTATTATTCATGGTCGAAAAAACGGGTGCTCTAAAAAATGCACCATATCATAACATAAGCTATCCCCCCATGGATTGACTAGTTCGGCGGGTGTTGTATACGAGGAACATGGTAGGTCAGCTCTTAGACGGGACAACTCAATCTACTTGTAACTCCCCTCTCATCTTCCTAGTCCAACTTTTTCTTGCTCTTGACATCATGCTAAGCTGCACAGTGGTTGCTCTGCTCCACAGGAACACTGTTACAGCCAACTTATTGACTCATGTATCAAACAAATAAATGAAATAGCACAGTATCGCAAGCATCAACTAGCCCCTAGCTCGCCACACTTACCATCCCTTCAAAATTAGTTGTACCATATACTGTTCCCATTTTACACCCTCGTTTGCCATATTTCCTCATCCTTGCAATTCTGTCAGCAGGAACCAACAAGTCGAAAGTCAGACAGCGCCAGCCTATGGCAGGGGGGTGGCGGCGGGCCAGTTGACGCACTGCCAGAGGTGGCCCGTGGCTATGGAGTAGGAGCAGCGGCGGGGGTTCTCATTCCAGCAGGAGGAGGGTGCGGTGCAGTTGAAGCCGCAGGGGATGCGCTTGCAGCACGTGCATGCGTTGTAACAGGTCTTGTAGTTGGTGGCCTGCTGTGTCGACGTGCCGCCCATGGCCACCTTGAAGTCCGTGCACACGTTCTCACACGTCGTCTTCACGTACCCGCAGCACTTGCCCTCGCTGTCCCCCAGCCACAACGAGCAGTCGCTGTCAGGTGGTGGCCATGTGGGGTACGGGCAGATGGCCTGTGTGCATCCAAACCCAGCCGCCGGTGCAGCGCCGGCGCGCCCCATGCAGGCGGCATTGCAGCCGGTGCAGACGTCGTTCTGGAAGATGGGCGTGGCATAGTTGCACACGGCGTCGCAGTACGACGGGTACGTCACGTAGTCCGACCCGCACACGGGCAGTGACGTGGCACAGCCGCAGTCGATGGCGCCGATGCGCACGTTGCAGGGGATGATGAGCGTGGCGTTGACGAGCAGCACGGCCGTCTCAAGGATGTTGTTGTACGCCGCAATGGCAGCCGGCGACACCGAGTTGGGCGTGCAGCGGTTCACGAACCGGGACGAGATGTAGGCGAGTGTGTCGCCGGACTTGACGGTGTAGAGGGAGAAGCTGGTGTTGGTGGCGGCCACGAGGGCCGCGAGACTGGGCGAGTTGGTGCACACCTTCTGCCCCACCTGCAGGTATGGCGCCTGGCACTGCCATGGGCGGGAGAGGAGAAAAACAGGGAGGAAGAGAATCGAAGAATAGCATTGAGGAATGCCGCAGTTTTCCCTATTGCTGTGGAAGCTGTGCATCTGTCTTGGCCAGATGCTACAGGTTGATGCATAAGCCCTGCCCTCTAACACAGGGCGCATCTGATGCCCGAGCAGGAGGAATATACTCAACCCGGGATCCAGGAAGGTGAGCAGAACGGATGGGTACCTGGATGGCGGGGTTTAACACACACGATAGCCCTGCACTAACCTTGCTACCTATGTTCACAGATTCATCCTCATGCCCTGCTTGATGGTGAGCCCTACTAGTCAAGGTGCAAAAAAACGGTTTCCATATTAAACAGTCCGTTTTTAACGGTCGTTTTATACAACAGATTTATGAAAATTCTAAGGTTTTTTTATTTGAGTTTTTTTTTTACCCTTAACTTTAAAAAACCGCTGGGAAACAGAGCGGCGACAGCCTACGTGCATCTAAAACACCATCCTCGTCCTCCTAGACCTGCTTTCATTGTCCTTCTCGCCCTTCCTCCACCCTCCTATTTGTCCTCCTCCTAGTCCTCCGACTGTACTCCGGCTCTGCTCCTCCTCCTAATTGTCCTCCTCCTCCCCACCCTAGTTCTCCCCTTCCTCGCTCTAGTCGCTCTCCTCCTCATCCTCCTCACCCTCCTCACCCTCCTCATCCTCCTCAATATAAAGCGAAATTCCGTTTTTTATGGCGGTATGAGAAAAAAACTGTGTAAAACGGCCGTTTTTTTGCACCAGTCAGAAAACACCACTTTTTACCGTTTTAATCGTATTAAACGGCCGTTTTATACGATCCCGTTTAATACGGTAAAAAAGGGTAAAAAACGCCCTTTTTTTGCACCTTGCAAATAGAACATCTGCTAAGCGCCTCACCCTGACGCCGGGGTTGATGGCTCACCCTGACGCCGGGGTTGATGGCTCACCCTGACGCCGGGGTTGATGGCTCACCCTGAAGCCGGGGTTGATGGCTCACCCTGAAGCCAGGGTTGGAAGGTAGGAAGGCCCGAGTTTAGGGCGTTTATGCCATGCGAGGCGCGCGTCTAGCTCACCCTGATGCCGGGGTTGATGGCGAGGAAGGTGGCCTCGGTGAGGTTGGCGGCGTTCCAGATGTTGGGGCAGTTGTCGCCCTGCAGCACCGTGTACCACGCCGTGCAGTTCACCACCGTCTGCAGGCAGGGAGGCATGGGAAGCACGAGAGGAGCAAAAGAGAACAAGCCAGTGAGACAAGAGCCCTGCAGCACCGTGTACCCCGCGGTGCAGGTCACCACCATCTGCCATGGGATGGGAAGATGAGGGGTAGAGGAATCAAGAGCATGCAAGGCAGTGAGCCACAAGGCCTGCTGCACCGTGTGCCGCGCACTGCAGCTCGGCAGTGAGACAAGAGCCCTGCAGCACTGCACCATGTGCCACGAGGTGCAGCCAACTGCAGTCTGCCACTGGGGGGAGGGGGGGGGTGGGGCAGTTGAGGAAGGAAGCATGAGAAGGCTCAGGCAATGATAGGCTGTCTGGATTTGAAAACTTCAGATCAGTTGGCAGCAAGTCCTTTGAAAGCGGGCGAGCAGCAGCAGCAGCAGCACTGGCAGCAGCACCAGCACTGGCAGCAGCGGCAGCACTGGCAGCAGAACCAGCACCAGCCATAGCAGAAACCTAAGAAGCAGCACCAGCATCAAGAGCAGCAGCATCAACAGCAACAACATACAAAGCAGCAGCAGCAACAGCAGTAGTGATGGCACTCACAGCAGCAGCAGCACTGCCACTGGCAGCAGCAGGCGGCGCCCACCTTGTCTGACTTGGGCGCGACGCAGAGGTAATTGCCCGCGTCCACGGCGTCCTTGCTGCAGTCTAGCGCTGGGTTCAACCTGCCAGGTGAAGGGAGGCAGGGAGAGAAGAAAGAGTGTGAGAGTGAGATGGGTCGAACGGGAGGGAGGCGAGCAGCGAGGCAGACGAGGAGGGTGGACGAGATGGATAGAGGGGGACGAAATCCGGGCGCTCGTTTTGCCGTGTCAGAGCAGCATGATCCAGTGCTGGGCAGTGGAGAGGAGCGAGTGACGGCAGAAGCGGCAGGGCACTCACTGCGTGAAGGTGGCGAGGGTGAGGTTGTACTTGATGGCGGTGGCGCTGCACGAGTCGCCCACCACCGCCACGTACGTCTGACCACACTGCAGCACCGTCGCATTCGCCGCACTCAACGGCGCCGCCGCCGCGCACACCTGCTGCGAGGGCAGCAATGCGGGGCGGTCGGCAGTGCAGAGCAGCGGGTTGGCCTGGCGGAAGGCGGCCTCGCTGCCGCTGAAGAGCGCGGCGATGAGCCCCACGCACGTGTCGTTGGCGCGCACCAGGTATGACGCCGTGCACACGGGGGTGGCGGGCGCAGAGGAGTTGGAGAGCGACAGCGCGAAGCCTGGGGAGAGGGGGAGAAGGGGAGGGTTTGGGGAGGGGAGAGTAGGAGACAAGGTGCATGAGAGATGACAGATCGGACGAAAGAAATGTGCGTTGATTGGGGCAAGTGGTGCTTAGGAGGCAGCGATGGGCAACGGCAGGAAAGAGGGGTTTGCGATCCACATGGACGGCGCGAGGCAGCGCTGGGCTCACGTGCACTGGCGGAAGCAGTGCGAGGGGGACAAGCACACACACACGAAACTCCTGCAACCCGGCGCCACGGGCGCACACCTGGCGGAACGGGCGCACACCTGGTGGCACGGGCGCGCACCTGGCGGGATGGGCGCACCTGGAGGGATGTAGATCTGCGAGCAGTTGAGGAAGGGGTTGAGCGCGACGAGGATGGCTGTGGTGGTGTTGTACGCCGCGGCGATGCCCTGGGGAGGAGGAGAGAGGGGCGAGGGGGGGGGGGGACGATAGGAAATGTGAGACCAGACTCGCATGGGGCAGTGCGTGCGCGACCAGACTCGCATGGGGCAGTGCGCGACCAGACTCGCATGGGGCAGTGCGCGACCAGACTCGCATGGGGCAGTGCGCGACCAGACTCGCATGGGGCAGTGCGCGACCAGACTCGCATGGGGCAGTGCGCGACCAGACTCGCATGGGGCCGTGCGCGACCAGACTCGCATGGGGCAGTGCGCGACCAGACTCGCATGGGGCAGTGCGCGACCAGACTCGCATGGGGCAGTGCGCGACCAGACTCGCATGGGGCAGTGCGCGACCAGACTCGCATGGGGCCGTGCGCGACCAGACTCGCATGGGGCAGTGCGCGACCAGACTCGCATGGGGCAGTGCGCGACCAGACTCGCATGGGGCAGTGCGCGACCAGACTCGCATGGGGCCGTGCGCGACCAGACTCGCATGGGGCAGTGCGCGACCAGACTCGCATGGGGCAGTGCGCGACCAGACTCGCATGGGGCAGTGCGCGACCAGACTCGCATGGGGCCGTGCGCGACCAGACTCGCATGGGGCAGTGCGCGACCAGACTCGCATGGGGCAGTGCGCGACCAGACTCGCATGGGGCAGTGCGCGACCAGACTCGCATGGGGCCGTGCGCGACCAGACTCGCATGGGGCAGTGCGCGACCAGACTCGCATGGGGCAGTGCGCGACCAGACTCGCATGGGGCAGTGCGCGACCGAAACGGAGTAGGGGGCAGCGCCGGCAGGCATGGAGGCAGAGAAGAACGGGACGCGCGTTAAGACGCACGTGCCGCCTCAGCGGCTCTCACCGCGCACGTGGCACTCACCGCGCACGTGGCACTCACCGCGCACGTGTCTCCCGGGACGGAGGTGTAGGTGAGCGACGACGCGTTGGCGCCCGCCACGCCCACACACGTCAGCGAGCCGTCCGCCTCCGCGCCGATGGCGTAGCCCTGGGGGGGGTTGGAGGGGGGGAGGATTTGGGAGGAGGGGATGGGGGGAGGGGATGGGGGGAGGGGATGGGGGGAGGGGATGGGGGGAGGGGTGGAGGGAGTTGACTTGACGAGCTTCACAATGGACGAGACAGGAGTGCGGAGAGGGGGGCAGGCGCCGGGGAGTGAGGGGAGGCGGAGGCGGCGTACCGCGGGGCACTGGCAGGTGTAGGCGCCCGTGCCGGTGTTGCTGCAGGTGCCGGCGCCGCAGGGGTTGAGCGCCGTGGCGTTGCAGGGGAACTTGGGCGCGCACTTGCTCGTCGGCACGCCCACCACCTCCACCATGTTCTCCGGCCCGCTGCAGTCGCAGCGCGCCGCGCCGTTCTTGGTGTAGCACTCGCCCGCGCCGCACGGGTTGATGAGCGCCTGGCACGCGTCGGACGACGCGACGAAGGGCTTGGTCCACCAGCGGCCGTCGCTGTCGTCGCGCTGCTTGCCGCTGAAGCGCACCGGCTGCGGGCCGAAGGGGTAGTACACCGGATACATGGCGGGCAAGCTGGTGAGGGGGGGCGGGGAGGAGATGGCAGAGGGCGAGATTGGAAGTGGGGGAAGTTAGTTGTCACTGGTGGCTAGTGGAAAGAGAGAGAGAGAGAGACGAGGGGGAGACGAGGGAGAGTAGAAGGGAGGGAGGGCAAAACTACATCGAAGTCCGCGTGCTGTACGCGTGCAGAAGTAGAGCGCTTTCAGGGGCACGTACGCGTGCAGCCCGCACTTCCCGCGCACGTCGGGCGACATGGCGAGGTACATGTAGCCGGCGTCGCCCCACGTGCTGAACCACGAGTTCTTGAGGATCCAGTAGCTGCCCGCCTTGCCGGCGCCTGTGTAGTTGTACCCCACCACCACCACCACGTGGTTGATGTCCGTCGAGCACAGCCCCGGCAGCTCCGGCGACCCGTATATCCTGAGCTTGCCGCGCGACGAGTAGCTCTGGAAGTCGCGCTCCGACCCGCTGAGGAACGCCACGACGGGCTGCATGCTGACGGCCTTCATCAGCGACACGGCGCTGTACGGCGGCACCAGCTCCCACCCCGTGATCTGCGAAGGGGGGAAGCAAGGGAGAGGGGGGCGAGGGGTGGGGGGGAAGGGGGGAAGGGGAGGACGGGGTGGGAGAGAGCGACAAGCGATGGGGGTGAGGTCGACAAACACAAGAGCTCGGGGAACTTGCTGCGCCACGCCTGCTGCGCCACACCTGCTGCGCCACACCTGCTGCGCCACACCTGCTGCGCCACACCTGCTGCGCCACACCTGCTGCGCCACACCTGCTGCGCCACACCTGCTGCGCCACACCTGCTGCGCCACACCTGCTGCGCCACACCTGCTGCGCCACACCTGCTGCGCTACACCTGCTGCGCCACACCTGCTGCGTCACACCTGCTGCGCCACACCTGCTGCGCCACACCTGCTGCGCCACACCTGCTACGCCACACCTGCTGCGCCACACCTGCTGCGCCACACCTGCTGCGCCACACCTGCTGCGCCACACCTGCTGCGCCACACCTGCTGCGCCACACCTGCTGCGCCACACCTGCTGCGCCACACCTGCTGCGCCACACCTGCTGCGGACGTCAAGCGGCGGGGCATCGGCGCGGACCGGCGAGCTCTGGCGCGCTGTGAGAGAGTGCGACTGCGGGACAGGCGGTGCGACGACGAGGGAGGGGTGATGGAGGGAGGTACCTTGGCGGCTGTGGGCGCGGAGGCGTTGAGGTTGCAGACGGTGCTGTCCTGCGCGACGTACGCGTAGTCCTCCTCCGCCTGGATGCCGCCGTTGAACAGCACGTACGAAAACGCCCAGTCCGCCCACCCGCCGCCGCAGCACTGCTTCGTCGCACAGTCGCACACCTGCGACATGCGCGACGACACAACCGACCGCTAGTAAGCAAACGACGACGAAAACGAACCGCGTTTATGGGTAAAAAGCGAATAACAAGCGGCGGCCGCACGTGGTGGAGATGGCAGCACGTACCTGCTGCGGCGACAGCACGACGGGCTCCGTCTTGGTGGTGATGGCCCACATCATGGCGATGGAATCGACGGCTGCGATCGCCCAACAGCTAGCGCACTGCCACGTGAGAGACGACAAAAAGGGAACGACGAAATCAGAACATGGTGGGCGCGCGCTGCCACCGTGACAGTCGGCGGCGGCACGACGACGAGCACTATTCGAGCGGCGCTCGCACGCGACAGGCTCTTCTGCTACGAGTCCGCGAGAGGCGAACAGCACTGGCGGAATGCGGCGGGCGGTGAATGCGCGCACCTCGAACTGGCGCTGGATGGGCGAGATGTACATGGTCTGGCGCCAGTCCACGGACGCCTTGGGCGTGACGGACGCGTAGCGGAAGAGCGTGCCGTTGACGTCCGCCATGCTCGGCCCCGAGTTCAGCGCGGGCGGCGTCAGCCCCACGTCGCGCCCCTTCATGCCGCCCTTCAGCCGCCGCCGCCACGCCTCGTCGCCGGAATCGTCGCCGAGCGACAGGTCGTCGAGCATGGCGTCGCGGAGCACCCTGGCATGCAGCTGCGCCTTGCGGTCAGCGCTCATCGTGAGGGTCTCCGCCATCGCCTGCTCGAACCGCGTTGGCTGCGGAGATGTGGCCGCGTGGGCGAGGCGGTGGAGCGAGAGGAGGGAGAGGAGGGAGAGGAGGAGCGGCGCACTGCGACGACACGCCATGATTATCGCGAGGGAGAGTACGAGAAAGTCGGGGTTCGTAGAGACCGATGCTTCAAGTCGAAGCCAGCATTAGTTTATCGATCGTTCTCCAGGAGGAAGTGCTTCGCTTGTCTTCAGAAGCGCGTGTGCAACTACTTCTGCTTCGCTATCACATTCAAGTCCGCCGCCCTTCACTCCCGCCGAGAGGGGATAACAGGCTTGGTGCTCTGAACTGTAGCGCGGGACGGAATGGAGGGCCACGCGAGTGAGTGAGTGCTGTGTGACTTCGAATGCAGTGGCTCTGATTTTGTATTCCAACAGACAGGTGCTGCTGAGGCAGCCTCGGCTGCTTGCTTTCATGTCGGCCTTCACGTCACGACAGGTAGGGGGTGGGGGGCAGGGCTCTCGCTAAGCCTAGGGTATTCCGTCAGGTCACGGAATCGTCCCTGAAAATACCCGTTAGCGGACGGAATCGCCGAAATTTTACCCCTTAGCATAAGGATTCGTCGAAAAGCTAGCTACTCTTGGTTTGAATCATCCTTGAAGGCAAATGGCCTTGGCCAGGGCTAAGAAAAAGCCTTCGAAAACCCAGGGACCGCGGATACTACGCTTCAGGCAGTTGGAAGAGTAGAAAAAACTCCCGGCAACTAACCTCGCGCTTTGCTTAGTGAAAGAAGTTGGGAAAAGTAGAGGGGAGGGTGGGAAGGTGTGATTCACTACTACGAACATATTTCCTACTGCAATTGCACTTCGTACGGAATCAATGAAAAGTAACCCGCAATGTCCAGGAATCACACGAAAAGTTTTCCTTTAGGCAGACAGAATTAGAAAACTTTTACTATGCAAAAAAACGGAATCAGGTCGTAAACAACTCTTAATTTTGCTCAATCAAGGACAACTACCCTGTTAGCCGGAGCCCTGGTGAGGGGGAGTCCGGAGGAAACATTTTCTGCACGACCCGTCACCTCAACACACATTGTTCTCCGAGTCGGGCAGCTACCCTTTCTAGTACTCAATAAGAACAAGTTCCTTTGCAGGATTGCCTTTTAGAATAAAGGACCCGTCAATGAACTTTCGAGATGGGGGAGATTCCACCCGGTAACATTTGTCCAGAGTACCCCTCCAGTCTTTGAAAGGAGCAGCGCCACCCAGCACAGCAGCCTCCGCGAACCAGGCACTCGAGTCTAAAAGGCGCGCTTAACCCCTTCCCTCAACCTTCCATCCCACCCTTGTGCTCGCCTCCTTTTGCACCGGAGGTTCTCGCAAAACAAAACCTCCCACAACCATAGGCTCTGGCAAAGGAGCTCAAAATTTGGGGGAAACCTTGGTTGTAGGGAGGGACATCCAGCCTCTACGCCTCAGGTCAGGGTTCGCAGCAGTGCAGCAGAGGAGCGCCAATGAGCAGCAGGCAAATGCCGCGGTGACTGAAGGCATTCACTGTTGACAACCTCCAAACCCTACCCTCACTCCGTACGAGTTGCGGCTGTGATATGAAAGGAAGTTCGTGTGTGGCAAGATACACTCTTTTTCCTTTACAGATTTGCAATTTCGACTGGCCTTCTAGGAGCTCGTGCTCGCACGTATCATTAATTCACAAAGAACCGTAATCATGTGTTGCGTAATAAATATCGCTTAAATCCAGGGTCTCATAATTCCAACTATTTAACGCTTGGATGGGGAAGACACTCGGTGATTGGAGAGCGAGGTGCTGAAGAATTGGAGAAAACGAAACGTAGGTAGCGAGGCCATTTTGTTTCGACAAACTTCCCAAACCGAAATCCTGGTTTGGGCAAAGCTGGCTCGGCTTTGATTTCCGCACCGAGCCAGTCACACTTCGGAAATCCAACGGCCGACAATCCAATTGTTTTGCTCTCACTTTCTACTTTGCTACCAACCGTCGATTCAACTCCCTAGGGAGCTGTCCGTCAGATCTGAAATTGGAACAGATCTAACAGCCCACAGTACCAGGTGCGCGCTGCTTCCCAGGTTCTGAGCAGTCTCATATTTCACGGAACCGTGGTGCCCCTGATTTTACACTCGCTTTCGCCCCTGGTTGCTTCCACCCTCTCACGGGCTTTCCCTAACCTCTCCTCCTAGTTTCAGCCGTGTAACCTGGTACCAAGCATTTAACGCTTGGAAAGTTTCCGGAATTATGAGACGGGGGCTTTAACCTCTCACACTGTGAAGGCCATGTTCCCTGGTATTTTGATCGCATATTCCGATATTGAGTTGATTCGATCAGAACATAAAGAGCGCACAATCAGAATTGGATTTTTTTTAGCCGTATCACCAAATCCTGGTATTAAAGAGTACTTTGAAATATTATAATACCATGAGTTTAGTGGTGCATTGATATTATAAGTTGTAATTATTTCATAGAATTTAATTCAATAATAATAAAAATGTATGATGGGTTTGGCCTTTTCAGTTAGCATAAGCATATACTATCTTATATACTATGATATATATTTTAAAACAATATTCTTCATATCTTTTATTCAAACCCCGCATAATGTTATCCATCTATTAAACATTTTTTTATCTTATGATAGCGTAATATGAAAGAACAAAAGGGGCTAGGGACATAGTCTACCTGGTGGCTATCTGTGACTGACAAAGCCTGTCTGAGGTAAAAGTATAACTTGTATTCAAGTGCATATTCCCCGCGAAACCCAATAGAGTGTTTCGTCTTTTGCTCCATTTTCCTTCAAGTGCTTTGTCAACTGCACGTCAGAACAGTTGGTCGGACTTTGGGGAGGCTAGGTAAGTGGCGCTATCGACATGTTCACAAAGCTGTCGACCCATTGGACAGGCTGGTCGACTTGTGGCGTTTCCGCACCTACTCCGTGAAACGGTTTTTGTCAGGTGGTTCGCTCACTTGCCTCGCGGGCAGCAGCAGTCCTGCACTGTCAAGAAACCCTGGAGAGGCGAGCACAGCTACCCAGCCAGCCATCTGATCCAGCAGAACCCCACTAACAACCAGGTCAGATACAGTATTTTCACTGTAGCACACATGTCCTCTGCGTTCCGCTCGCTATTTCATCTCCGCTTAGAGGACGACAATTGAAAACGAATTAATAAATTTGGTAATTAACAAAAGAATGTGTACACAAGGGGAATGGTCAGTTTTGGTCTCCTGCAGCCAGTTCAGCTGTATCGGGAAAAGCCAGCAGCCCCAGCAGCCATGGCTCCCGCAGCACGGCTTCCCGCAATCGCCTGACGAGCTGCTCGTCCCCGACTGGGCAGCCGCTTCGTGGCCACGAGGAGCTCCTGAGTCTAGAGACGTGGGCCTACTACGGCAGCGGGCTAGCGGGCGGGAACCAGGTGCAGTTCCACGTGTACTTGTAGTTGCTGTAGATGCACTTGCGTGGACTCGCGCTCCAGCAGCTCGACGGCGCGGAGCACGTGCTCGTCGCGCACGGCACACGCGAGCAGCACATGCACTGGCTGTAGCACGAGTTGTAGTTCGTCTGCATCTGTGTCGACGTGCCGCCCAGCGTGTTCTTTGTCGCCGTGCACACGTTGTCGCACACCGTCTGCTCCACGGCGCAGCAGCGCCCCGCCGCGTCGCCCTGCAGCACGGTGCAGTCGCTGTCGAGCGGCTGCCACAGCGGGTACGGGCACACGGCCAGCGTGCAGTTGTACCCCGCGGCGGGGGCGAGCCCGGTGCGGCCGGTGCAGGCGGCGTTGCAGCCGGAGCACACGTCGCTCTGGATGACGGGCAGCGCGTAGTTGCACAGCGCGTCGCAGTACGACGGGTACGTCACATAGTCCGCGCCGCACACCGGCAGCGACGCCGCGCACCCGCAGTCGAGAATGCCGACGCGTGTGTCGCACGGGATGATGAGCGACGCGCCCGCCGTGAGAGGCGCCGTCTCGAGAATGTTGTTGGCGGCGGCGATGGAGGCGGGGGCGACGGAGGAGGCCGTGCAGCGCGTGACGAACTTGGACGAGATGAGCGCCAGCGAGTCGCCGGGCTGCACGGTGTAGAGCGAGTACGAGGTGTTGGATGCGGTGAGGAGCGTCGCGAGGAGGGGCGAGTTGATGCAGACCTTCTGGCCCACCAGGAGGTACGGCGCCTGGCACTGTAACGGGGATGGGGTGTGCAGGAGAGAGCAAGGGACAGCGAAGAGCAAGCGGGTGAGATGGATAGAGGCTCGCTGGACGCGACATGCGCGAGCTGCGGAATGGCTGTCGCAGGGTAAATAGGGAGCGCTGACGCCGGGATTGGAAGGTAGGAAGGCCCGAGTTTATGGCGTTTATGCCATGCGAGGCGCGTGTCTAGCTCACCCTGATGCCGGGGTTGATGGCGAGGAAGGTGGCCTCGGTGAGGTTGGCGGCGTTCCAGATGTTGGGGCAGTTGTCGCCCTGCAGCACCGTGTACCACGCCGTGCAGTTCACCACCGTCTGCAGGCAGGGAGGCATGGGAAGCACGAGAGGAGCAAAAGAGAACAAGCCAGTGAGACAAGAGCCCTGCAGCACCGTGTACCCCGCGGTGCAGGTCACCACCATCTGCAGGCAGGGAGGCATGGATGGGTAGAGAGGCGCAAGAGAGAACACGTTAGTGAGGCACGAGGCCTGCACTGCAGCGCCGAGTACGGCGAGGTGCAGGTCACCGTCGTCTGAGGGGAGGGGAGACGCAGATGGGAAGGGAGGAGATTGCCAGGGGAAAGGTTTGAGACAAGACTGTACACAGACGCAAAAGCATTGGAGCGCGCGTGGGCTTATCGCAACTCTCAGATCAGAAGGTACCAGCTCGCCCTCCCACCCGCGCCAGCAGCAGCAGCAGCGGCACTGGCAGCAGCACTGGCAGCACCAGCAGCAGCGGAAGCAAAGGAGGCGAGGGCCATGCAGAGGGCCATGCAGAGGGCCATGCAGAGGGCGGATGGATGCGGGAGAACGATGACTCCCATTGGGCAGGCGCTCATTGCGTTTCCCCAACCCACCTGCGCGCTCTTGGGCGCCACGCACACGTACGACCCCACGGGCAGCGCGCCCCAGCAGCTGAGCCCAGCATTGAGCGCGGCGAAGGCGCTCAGGCTCACGGCGAACTTGGTGGCCACAGAGGAGCACGTGTCGCCCGCCACCGCCACGTACGTCTGCCCGCACTGCGGGACGGCGGGCGAGGGCGAGGAGGCGGAGGCAAGTGCGGTGCAGATGGTCTGCGCGGGCAGCACGTAGAAGCGCGCCGTGGTGCACGTCAGAGGGTTGGCGGCACGCAGCGCGGACAGGCTGCCGGCGAAGAAGGTGGCGGCAAGCGACGAGCACGTGTCGCTGGGCTGCACGGAGTACGTGGCGGTGCAGAGCGGTGTGGAGAGCGAGGCAAGGGAGGAGGCGTTGGCGACGGAGAGGATGAAGGCGGGCGGGATGAAGGCCAGCGAGCAGTTGAGGAACGGGTTCAGCGCGGCCAGCGCGGCCGTGGTGAGGCCGAAGGCGGCGGCCACGGAGGAGCAAGAGTCGCCGGGGACAGTGGGGTAGGCGACGGCCGTGGTGGTGGTGCTGGCCACGCCCACACACGTCTGCGTGCCGTCCGACGCCGCTCCTATGGCGTAGCCCTGCAGGGGGGGGAAAAGAGAGAGAGAGAGAGAGAGAGAGAGAGAGAGAGAGAGAGAGAGAGAGAGAGAGAGAGAGAGAGAGAGAGAGAGAGAGAGAGAGAGAGGAGGAGAAGGATGAGGCGTAATGAGGAGAGGTGGAGGTGGGCGCATGGTGCGAGTGTGGGCAGGAGAGGCGAAGCGGAGCTAGGAGGAGAGGAGAGGAGGCAGGAGAGGCGAAGAGGATGGGGTGCGACGACGGGGGGGCAGGTGACAGGTGTGGGAGCGCTCACAGCGGGGCACTGGCAGGTGTAGGAGCCGTCGCCGGGGTTGACACACGTGCCACTGCCACAGGGGTTGTAAGGGCCGCGGGTGCTGCAGGGGTTCTTGGGCACGCACTTGCTGGTGGGCACGCCCTGCACCTCCACCATGCCCACCAGTGCGCTGCAGTCGCACCGCGCCATGCCCGCGCGCGTGTAGCACCGCCCCGAGCCACACGGGTTGATGCCGCTGCACGCGTCGGCCAGCGCGGGGTAGGCTTTGGTCCACCAGCGGCCGTCGTTGCCGTCGTCGGCACGCGTGATGGGGCCGTTGGACACGCGCACGGGCTGCGGCCCGCTGGGGTAGAACACCGGGTACATGGCGGGGATGCTGGGGGGGGGGGGAAGAGGGAGAGAGCGGAATGGGGAGTGGAGAAGGAAGGAAGAGGGGAAGGCGTGAGGAGAACTGGAGTGAGGAACGGGGAGGCGTGCATAGCGAGAGGAGAGGTGAGAGTATTCAGAGATAAGGTAGCGAGGGAGGAAGGGCAGCACACGCACGCATGGATGCCGCACTTCCCGCGCACGTCAGGAGACATGGCGAGGTACATGTAGCCACCGTCGCCCCACGTGCTGAACCACGAATTTTTCAAAATCCAGTAGCTGCCTGCGAGGCTCTGGCCGGTGTAGTTGTAGCCCACGACGACCACGACGTGGTTGATGTCGGTGGAGCACAGCCCGTCGTAGATCTTGAGCTGCCCGCGCGAGTTGTAGCGCTGGAAGTCCTGCGCCGACCCGCTGAGGAACGCCACGACGGGCTGCATGCTGACGGCCTTCATCAGCGCCACGGCGCTGTACGGCGGCACCAGCTCCCACCCCGTGATCTGCCAAGAGGGGAAGCAAGGGGGGAGGAAAAAGGGAGAGAGAGAGACAGACGATCCATGGTAACGCCGGGCTCTCACATGGGCTGGGGGGGTTGGGACAATGGCAAACAGGCAGAACCGTGCGAATGAAGACGGCAGTGGGAGCAGCGCGCCGGATCTACGTGGGACGAACCGAAAGTGCGGACGTGGTTGCGAGCTAGGATGGCACAGGGAGTGCGCGCATTAGGCAGCGATGCGCACCTGCGCGGTGGTGGGCGTGGACGAGTTGGCGAGGCACACGGCGCTGTCGCTGGCCAGGTAGGGATAGCTGTCCACTGCCGTGATGCCGCCGTTGAAGAGCACGTAGGAGAAGGCCCAGTCGGGCCAGCCGCCCTGGCAGCACTGCTTCGTGCCGCAGTCGCACACCTGCCAGCCCCATCGCCACACGCCCGCCGCACTGTGAGGCTTGCAATGCACCTCAGCGGCAGCACACATGAAATGCTCCAAACAGGACATTTATGGTGCAGTCGCATGTACTCGCTACTTCCGACGCAGTAAGCATTCTGGCCGTGCTAATGGTCTCCCACCTGCTGCGGGGAGAGAACGGCTGGCAGCGAGCTGGTGGTGATGGCCCACATCATGGAGATGGAATCGACGGCTGCGATCGCCCAACAGCTCGCGCACTGCGCACACATGAGCATTGGGGGATGGTGGGAACAGGAGGTGCAGCAGCCATGAGAGTGCGAGAAATAAAGAGCAGGGCATAGCAAATGGTCTTTCGTAGAGACGCGGCGAGAGCAAGTTGTGCAATTCGTCGCCTTCCTCAAGGGAGGGTCCGTGGCGCCCCGCCGTACCAGGAACTGGCGTTGGATGGGCGAGATGAACATGGTCTGCCGCCAGTCCACCACGGCGCTGGCCGTCACGGATTCGAAGCGGAAGAACGTGCCGTTCACGTCCGCCATGCTCGGGCCCGAGTTCAGCGGCGGCGGGGTCAGCCCCAGCGACTTGCGCGCGTCTTTCAGCTGTCGCCGGGTGTCGTCCGCGTCGCCATCGTCTACATCGGCGTCGGGCGGCGCCACGTCTCTGAGCCTCGCCGCTTGCCAGATCGCTTTCAAGTCGGCGCTCAACTCGCGGGTTTCCTTCAGCGCCTGCTCGTAGCGCGTCACGGACTGCGCCGCCGCGACGAGCAGACCGAACGCGAGAAATGCGAGGGCGATTCGAGGAGAGCGTATGAAACCCATTTCAACTATCGAAGCTATCGCTTTCTGGACTTACTAAACCGCGGGCACTGCTTGAACGTCGAGGTACGCACGGAAGTCGTACTAAGCTTGGAGCGGAGGTCAGGAGCTAGCGTGCACCGGTTTCTTGATGGGGCTCGTGCCAGAACTCAGTGAGACCGAACTTGCAAGACAAGGGGGACAGGATGAAAGCTTCCGACCGACCACCACCACTGTTTGCGGCTCAGCAACCCGATCCAAGCAGGGATTGTCGTGCCCCTTGGAACGGGGTGGTTGGTCGGGAGGGAGGGGAGTTGATCCAGCGTCAGGCGCCATGGACGTCGACTGCAGGCATTGTGGGTGTGCGACGGTGGCGGGGTGATACGCTATGGCAGCCACGTTGAACACTGGAGGGGTGGATGGCCAGCTCTCGAACGAGACACTGGGGGGATGGTGCGAGAAGACGTCGAAATGCGCAAATGTGATTTTCTGGACACATGCGGCTCGACAGCTGGATGCGGGGGTGAAGGGCTAAACTCGCAGGATATGTGCTTGGTTTAGGTTAGCTCGGTCAGAAACAATGTCTTTCTGATACAGCACTATGTTAGCTCACAGCGACTGTGCGGGGTCGATTCTCCAACCCCACCTCACACGGCGCAGTATTTACATCAGGTGTGACTGTGCGCTGGATTTGACTGCCCATGACATCGGGTGACGCACAAAACAATATGAAGCCACATGGTGGAACAATCTGGACAGCAGAAGCAGGGTTGCGTGATGCCCCTTCCTGCCACGCGTTACATTCTAACTGGAAAGCTCGTGGTTCCAGCGAGGGAGAAGATGCTGCCATCAGTTCCATGTTGCGGAAGGGAACTGTTCCATTCCAACCTACAAATAATGTCGGGTGCGAGACGCCATTGTATTGTAACACCACAGCGTACAGTTTGTAGGCTAGTTTCCTACATTGCGACAGGCTCAAATGGAATGAATTTCGGTTTGCAATATCTATTACTCCAAGCATATAAAATCTGATACAGGACACAGTACCCCTATAAGAGATTTCTTTTGATTGGAAACATTTCCTAAACAAGCCTGGCAGAACCACAGGTAGCAGTGCAACCAGCTAAAACCTTCATATGAGCACTCCCGAGAATGGCCAAAAGCTCAGATGCCACATACATGTTACCCCTGCTTGCACACCCCCTTCCCCCCTCTCCTCACAGCACCACCTTCTGCTTCTTCTCCAGGATGGGCGGCACAACGTCGATGCCCATGTTGGCGGCGGTGCCGGCAATGATGCGCATGGCAGCCTCCACCGTGGTGCAGTTGAGGTCCGGCAGCTTCTCCGTGGCGATTGCCCGAACCTGCTCCACCGTCACCTTCCCCACCTTCTCCTTCGCCGGGTTTGCTGAGCCACGCGCCGCGCCTGCCGTGGCACATGTGGTGGGGATGGGATGCAGGGTGCAGTGGCACAGATCGCAGGGGGTGGGGAGTGAATGGTGGTGGAGCGAGCGGAGAGATTTGGAGGGTGTGAGGTGGTGGGAGAAGTACGAGAAGGAAAGGGGCGAAGAAATGGGAAGGGGGTGGGGGCAGGAGGGGAGGGACATTGCCGTGGAGGGATTGAGTAAGGGGTCGGGGTTAAGGAGGGAGGGGGCGTGGGGGGGGGAGGGGAGAGGATAAGTGGGGGGTAAAAGCACACTAGGAGGGAACGCGGAGTGGAAACTGGAGGGCAGCAATAGAGGGGAGCCTGAGTTTGAGTTGTCATGGCAGGCAACCCCAGCGGAGACTGCACATGCAGAAGAGACACACAGGGACCAGCGGCCCTAAGCACATACCAGCGGCCTTGAGCACCTACCAGCGGCCTTGAGCACATACCAGCGGCCTTGAGCACCTACCAGCGGCCTTGAGAACATACCAGCGGCCTTGAGCACCTACCAGCGGCCTTGAGCACATACCAGCGGCCTTGAGCACCTACCAGCGGCCTTGAGCACATACCAGCGGCCTTGAGCACCTACCAGCGGCCTTGAGCACATACCAGCGGCCTTGAGCACCTACCAGCGGCCTTGAGCACCTACCAGCGGCCTTGAGCATCTACCAGCGGCCTTGAGCACCTACCAGCGGCCTTGAGCACCTACCAGCGGCCTTGAGCACCTACCAGCGGCCTTGAGCACCTACCAGCGGCCCTGAGCAACTACCAGCGGCCTTGAGCACCTACCAGCGGCCCTGAGCACCTACCAGCGGCCTTGAGCCCCTACCAGCGGCCCTGAGCACCTACCAGCGGCCTTGAGCACCTACCAGCGGCACAGCACCTACCAGCGGCCTTGAGCAGGAGAACGGACGCCGGCGGCGTCTTGAGCACGAAGGTGAAGCTCTTGTCCTGGTGGCGGGGGGGGGGGGGAGAGGGGGGCGGCGGGTGAGTGGAGGGTGGGCGTGACGGCCGTGGTGGCCGAGGAGTGCACGCAGAGCGAGCGGTGGGTGTCAGGGCGAGAGGGTGTTGGGGGGGGAGGAGGGGAGAGTGAGAGGGGCAGATGGGGAGCACATGGACGCGTAAGCGAGCTCTCAGAAGGAAGCGAAAGCGACGAGCAGCGCCATGCGCCGCACGCCGGCCAGCAGAGGGCCTAAGCGCCAACCGGGGCTGGCACCAACCACGCGCCTCCCACCAAACCATGCCACGCCAAACCATGCCACGCCACGCCATGCCATGCCATGCCATGCGACGCCATGCCATGCCATGCCATGCCATGCAAGCGTGCACCTAATCCTCCATTCCTCCATACCGTTCCAGACCCCTGACCCCCGGGCCCCGCGCGGCACTCACGTCGAAGACGGTGATTTCGACGGGGATGACGTAGCCCGCCTTGTCGGCCGTCTTGGCGTTGTACTCCTTGCAGAACATCATGATGTTCACGCCCTTCGCGCCCAGCGCCGGCCCCACCGGCGGCGCCGGAGTCGCCTTGCCCGCCTCCAGCGCCAGCTTGATCATCCCCACCACTGGCGGGGGGAGGGGGCGGGAAGGCGGGAAGGGAGGGGAGGCGGGGATGGGGAAACGGGGGGTATGGAAGGGGGACGGGAAGGAGAAGGAAGGTGGGGGAAACGAGGGGCAGGTCAGACGGGGGGGAGAAGGTGCAGAAGCCGACTTGCCCGCCTCCAGGACATGGCTTCATCGCGCCCACCACTCCGGGGAGGAGAGGGGCGCGAGACTGGAGGGGAAGAGGGAAGGGGGGGAGGGATGGATGGGGAATTCGGTGGGGAGGGAAGGGGATGAAAGGCAAAGCGCGTTGAGACGACGAGAGGAAGGGGAGGGAGGCGAGGGCGCCAGAGACACAAGCGTCGCGCGGAACAGGCGGCAATCGACGAGCCAACCGAGGCCGTTGGATGAGAGAAGGAAGCCGTCATGTGCGACGCTATCACGTGCGACGTTGTCACGTGCGACGTTATCACGTACGACGCTATCGACGCCTGCGACCACGCGAACGCTCCAGCAGCACAACCTAACGGCCAGCATTCAGGCCTTACAGCGAACATCAAAATCTAACGGCCAGCATCGAAACCTAAAGGGATCTCCAAGACCTAACGGCGAGAATCGGGATGAAGATCGCCACAGAGAGGCGCAGTAAGCGACGCTGGTGGGTGGCGTTGCGCGACGAGGCGACGCACGGCCGAACACCAGCAGAGGCGTCGAGAGCCACGAAAGCCGCGGTGCCGCTGCTGCCGCACGGCCTGACACGGCGATCGGCGATCGGCGCTAGCGCCTGAAACGAGAGAGGCTGATAGAAGAGTCGGCATTGAGCGCGTACAGCAGCGACTGTCGCACGCCGTCCCGTGTGTCACGGCTGACAGCCCTAAACTTATGAGTTGTATCGATCACGGCTGCTGGCCACGACGACGGCGACACGACCGTTCATCCAACCCGAACTCTCGGCAAGGGGCCCCTTGAACCGGCTGGAAAAAACTGCCGCCCGATTGAGCTGCACACTGGCCGGCTCCCCCAGGCCACATCGCCACCGCGGCAACGCGCCACCGCGCCAGCGCGGCAAGTCGGTGCGCAGAAGTTTTAAACAGGCGAGGGAGTGCCAATGTACCCTAGACGGAGAACGGAAAGCACTGCTCGCCGCGCGAGGTTCAGGGTTTGGCGGGCCTCAGCAGCCATGCCTTGCAGCGCGCCTGCTCAACAGTCCCCGCGCCGCAGGTCAACCTGCACATGCATTGTCGGACGCCACACCCTGCCCACCTTTCTTGGCCTTCCCGCCAGCCTTAGGCGGCGCCATGGCGACCACTCTCAGCCCGCTGGCAGACGGCGCGGCGACGGCAGCAGCGCGCTGTGGGGCGACGCTCCGCACCTTCTGGCCCCAGAAGCCGCTGCCGAGCCTACCGGCCTCATCCGAGCCTCCTTGTGGGCCGAGCCTAGCTGATAGCGACGGCAGCGAGCGGCCGCCATCAAGCGCTGCAGCTGCAAGCGAGGCTCGGGAGTCAAGCCTCGCCTGGAAGGAGGCGGTTTGACAGGCGAGGGCAGCCATGATGCGGCAGTCAGGCCTTTATATGCGGCTCGAAATTATATGAACCACAGAAATAGTTGAGAAGGGAGTTACTAGGAGTGGGGCGGATAAGAGAGGGTACGCAGAGGGAGGTCACAAGTGGATAAGGTAGAAGGGGGTTCGGCGCTTAGGATGGCGGGGAGAGAAGGCGAGTGAAGGGAGGAAAGGGTGTGTGGAGGGAGGAAAACTCTAGACACAACATCCGCTGGCGAAAACAGTTCCGGCGAACGGGAAGTGGGAAGAACGTAACGCACTTTCGCGTGGGAAAAATTACTGCTGTTTGCGACAGCATATCGGAAGCATGTTACTGAGCTACTTTCTTCCTGACAAATGCCAGAGTGACACGACAATAGTCACGGTGGCTAAGACACAACGCAGGCCACGTGGAAGGAAGGGACATTCGACAAATCATCCACAACATTCTTCCATCATCTTTCAATAGAAGGTGCATGTATAAGCACCATCACAAGAATGATAACATACAAAAATATAACATTTATTACACACAGAATTTAATACAAGAAAAATATTAATTTTCAAGTCTGCAAATTTGTTCCACCGAATTTGTTTTGGAATACAAATGAATTTTCCTTGTTCCACCGACTCAGCCGTGATATCCCGACTATAGGACTAGGGCCCTTAACATCAGACAAATTTAGTCTGATGGACTGAAAAAAGACCGGTTTCCTAAAGTTCGTATGATTTGTCGGACGGGTTTGTTTTTCCTTCTTGAAAATCAAACAGTGTAGTCTTTCGTCTCTGAGCCTTCATCCAATGTATTTTTTCCCTTCTGAAAACTGACAAATTTAGCACCTGGGCCAGTTGGCAATAATCATCCGTTACATGTGACATGCAAAACCATGTGGATTCCGAGCGCTGTCACACGTCACAGCTCGGTGCCAAGATTCCGCGTCACATCCTGCCACGCAACTGTCATTGCACGCTAGTGTCGGCGCACCAGTCAAGAACGTTCGGGTTCTCCTTTGGATGAATTGCCCCACCGACGCTGTCCCGGTGTCTACTGTCGGCGCGCATGCCAGCTTTCAAGCGCACTGTGCCTGGTTGTTTCTTGCCAGCACATTTCCTACGGCATTAGAAAATCGGTGCGGTGGCTCATACGCACTGCGAATTTCGTGGAGAGCTAAAAAGGGGGCATGCGTACGAGCCGCACATTCGAAATGTAAGCATGGGCATGTCGCATCTCTCACCATTCTTTTTTCCCTTCGCTGTTTTTGGGTGGGAGGACTAGCGTCGCCTCCCCGTCCTCAGTCAGGACAGTCAAACTAGCCTCCTTGCAGTTTCTAGTTCCTCGACGTGTGTCACTGAAGTTTAGTCTAGGCTATCATTTACGCCATGCTAGCAGAGTCTGGGGCTAGTGCTCCAGCGCTATGCCAGCCCCCTAGCATCCCTCCCAGTCCAGCTGCGCTCTCAGAACTGGATTTGCTGCGCCGCATCACACGCCCTCCTCCAGCCACTGCTGCCTCTCTTGCGGCGGCTACTGCCTCTCCTCTCGAGCCCGATACATCACTTTTAGGTGCTCCTCCTACGGGCACCGCGACTCTCTTGCTTGAGCAGAGTTTGCCATGTCACCTGCTTCCCAAGTCAAGCTCCACTTACCGTATTTGCCATAGTGGCACCCCCTCCTCCTGTGGCTGCACCATCTTTGCCGGCTGGTGCTACCTGTCAACTTATACATATGCTTGTATGTAGAAGTTGCAAGCTAGATAGGTGTATGTTCTTAGAGGGTACAACTCCAACCCTATATATCTCTGGTTCTGTCTTGTTTCCAGTAATACCTGTAATCTAACATGGTATCATGAGTAGGTTAGGTCCGCCCACCCGCTTCCGCCCCTAGCCCTAGCCTACCGCCCCGCCGGCCCCTAGTGCGCCCGCCGGCCCCTAGCGTACCGCCGGCCCCTAGTGCGCCTCGACGGCCCCTAGCGCGCCCGCCGTTCCTTATGCGCTGTGCCGGCCCCTTAGCGCCCCGCCAGCCCCTCGCGCCTAGCCGGCCCCTAGAGCGCCGTGACGGCCCCTCGCGCTGTGACGGCCTCACACACCTAGCTGGCCCCTCGCGCCGAGCTGGCCCCTCGCACCTCGCCGGCCCCTTTCGCCTAGCCGGCCCCTCGCACCTAGCCGGCCCCTCTTGCCTAGCCGGCCCCTTGCGCCAAGCCGTCCCCGCGCGCCTAGCCGGCCCCTCTCGCCTAGCCAGCCCCTCGCGCACCGCTGGCCCTTCGCGCCTAGCCGGCCCGGCACTGTGCCATGCCGGCCCCTCGTACCTAGCCGGCCCCTCTCGCGCACCGCCGGCCCCTAGCGCCTAGCCGGCCCCTCGCGCGCTTGCCTGGCCCCTCACGCACCCGCCTGGCCCACGGCGCGCCTCGCCGGCCCTTCGCGCCCGCCGGCCCTTCATGCGCCCGCCGGCCCTTCGCGTGCACGCCGGCCCCTCACGCCCTCGCTGGCCCTTCGCGCGCGCCGGTTTCTCCCACGCCCGCTCGCCCCTCACGTGCCTCGGGCCCCTCCTCAGCCTTCCGCCCGGTCTTCTCACCGGGGAGTCCTGCCGCTGTGTCGCCGTGCCGCTGTACCGCTGTGCCGCCGTGACGCTGTGCCACCGTGACGCTGTGCTGCGGAGGTTGCACGATGGCGGACGCTGTGCTTCGCTTGGACGCGGAGGGACACGCGATTGACTTCGCCGCCTGGCTTGTCGATCTACGCCGTCACCCGACACGTCAGCGCCAGGATGGGCACTCCCTGGCTGTGCATGTCGATGGCTTGCTTCCCCGCCCCTCCACGCCTGATCCCCTCCGCGCTGACCCCACCACTGCCGAGAGTGAGGCCTTCGCTGCTGCTGCGCTCGTTCGCGCTGTTTGGGACTCTCGCGATGCTATAGCGTAGCTTACCATTAGTTATGCGCTTCCCCTGTCTGAGCGTCCGCGCTTCACTGCTGTCGCGAACGCCAAGGATTTCCTAGATGCCGTAGTTGCGCGCTAATCCACACCTGCCTGTGCCTCCGTTGGCCGCTTGATCCTCCCCATGCTATTCCCTGATCTTTCCGTTTTCCCCATTGACGCTGACCTCGCTACTCACCTCTGTGCACTAGAGACTAGCTACCGCGCTGCTAGCACTACCGCCCAGCTCACTGCCCTCCGCCCGTTGTTTTGCGCTACCCTGTACCTTATTGCCATGCGCCTGCCTGACCGCTTAGCACTGCCCATGACCACTTCCTTAGCCAGCACCCTGGTGACCTCACCCTAACCGCCTTTGTCACTGCCCTTTCTGAGATAGAGACTCGCCAGCGCACTATCGCTCAGTCGATCGGTATTGCAGCGGCCCCTTTCTTTCAGGGCTGTGCTCCCTCCCAGTGCACGTACAGTAACGTTTCCGCCGCCGTCGCTACAGCTGCTCCTGCCACCGAGACCGCAGTGGCGGCCTTTCCGCAGCAGCAGTGACAACGTTGGGGCCGTCGTGTCCCCAAGGGAGGGCGTGGTGGTGGTACTAGTGGTGGAGGTGGTGGTGGCAAAGGCAGTGGTTCTGACGGGAGGGCTGGTGTGAGAGTACAAACCCTACACCAATTTCCCCTTTCCATATTTCCTTTCCATTTTATTCCTCTATTTATCCTGATTCGTTTGGTCTTTATCTGATATAATTTGGTTTCCTATTCCTCATTTTCCATTATCCTTCCGTTTATCGTGTTATTATAATTATATCACCGACCAGGCTCGGGATGTACTGGCGCGCTATATCTAACGTAATCCTGCCGTAGTCCCTTAAAGCCAATAGCGTCGCTCGGCTATATGTAGGGTGATTCTATTTCTAGAAGGGTCTATTTCCGTTGGATAGGATAAACTTGGTTACCTGATGTACTATGGAAGTAGAAAAGTACCTTGTTCTGATTGATAGTGAACATTTAGCAAACCTCATTCGATCCTGTAACACTTGGTCATCAGAGCCAGAGGTTTCAGCTCAATGCTTAACCGCTGGGCCCCCAGGAGCACGCTGAGGATGGAGTTGAAACTTCAATTCCTGTTAGTATAATGCTCTTTTATATGAAGTTTCGACTAACCTCGCGCAGTTGCACTTGGGGTCCCATACGAAGGCGAGATGCCTCGTCAACCGTTCGATGGACTGCATCGACGGAGATGATATTTTCGCGGGGGAAAACGGCCCCGACCTTGCGAACGCGTCAGTTCTGGCAGAACACTCCCTGCGATATTCTGAGAAGTTCGCAGTTCGCCACGACTCTTGGAGTTGCGCCGAAATGTGCGGAGCTGCGACCGGCAACATCCGTCCGATGGAGATTCGACGCTTCAGATTGATCGAGACGAAAACGAAATCCTTCTGAGCGAGTTCGAGTTTCAGCGCGAATGGGAACGAGACCTCGCAAGCTGCAAAATTCTTCGGAGCGTCCGATCGTTCGACAGCCGACATAGACGACCGAGAATTGCTGCAGGAAACGAATCAACCCGGGTACCGAAAGCTGCTGAACGCGACTCTGGAATATCGACAGATCGCTTGGAGTTCGGACCGGCGGATCTACTTCTGCTTCAACGGACAAGATGGAGTGCGACTTATGCACAAAGGGACAATGACGCGCAGAACCAAAAATCAGCCGCCTTCGACACCGTTCAGTTCAGCTTGACAACCAGTTTCAGATTCTTCCAATTAAGCAGGAATTTGGCGCGCAAATTATCTGCAGAGTTAGAAATATGCCGAGGAATTACCTCTTTGGTAATAGTGGCGAGCAGATAACTGACAAGAAAACGTGGATCATCGGATCGGTGCGGAATCAACGGCACGAATGCAGCGGAGATTACACTATGGAATAGCATCATCATAGAGACAACATTCGTGTACAGAGGCTGCACAATCGACGCATCTTCTGACTAGTGTCGAAAACGATCAATTTATTTTGACGAAGTCATCTTCGTTAAAAATGGATCGACATCAACACAGCGGATCTTCTCCCTGGAATAACAATGAAGCTGCGTGAAGACATGTTCTCCATCCATGAGACACTTCATCTCATAAATTTGATCGACAACTTGTGGGATTGCAGAGAAGTTGCCGTTTTATCTTGCAATATTCCGAGTACCATGTTGTTGCGAAGGAGCAGATTTCACATGCAACGACGACGCAGTGAACCCGCCTTTTCAAGGCCAAC